AATGGTATCATGAGATGTCGGATAGAGTTATGTTCTAGTTATTATTATGCGGAATAAGAGTATCGAGGTAGATGGAGTATCCATCCTAGTGCTATAAAGATGTAACCGGATTTGAGGAATATGGTTTTGATTGAGTGATTTTGGATGGAATGACTAGATTGGCTCTCTTCCTACCAATGAGGATTAATCATTCTATGTTGAAGCTGGTTGAGATGGATATCATTGAAGTGATAAAGATTGTATGAGGTATCGTCGAATATTGTGTCAGATAGGGATCTGAAGCATTGTGTGGTAGGAGGTGTAGGACTCCTTTGTATTGTTATGATTCAGGCGAGAGTGTTGTGCTCGGACCTGAGGATTGTGTAAGAGGCGACTGAAAATATCAAGATCCAAGAAAGGACGTGTTCTGAGAGTTTCATTGGTGACGGGTGTTGATCGAGCTTTGAAGTCTCGGAAGCACACACCGTGTTTTATTGCTTAGTATCAGAGTGGCGCAGCGGAAGCGTGGGAGAAGTATCATGTTAGATTATCTTACCAATGTCGCTTGTGAATTTACATGATGTGGTATGTGCCTAATGAGGAAGTGCAAGTGCATTCATTTAGGAAAATGGTGTACAAGTGAGGAAGGATTTGACTGTTGAGACATTGCTAGTTCAGATTGATGAGCAAGAAGTAACTTCGAGGCAATGAAGATTTCTTCGGTAAAGACAGTTGGGTGAACCAACTAGAGAAAGTGGGATTTGAGAGATTGGGATGAGGAAATCGTATCCGACTCGATTCATTGAGATAACATTTTCGAGGACGAAAATTCCTAAAGTGGGGAGAGTTGTAACAACCCAATTTTCAATAATTAATTATTTGTGTTAATTAATTGATTTATTTGGATTATTCTAATTATTTGAATAACTAGATGATTGTTTAAATGGATTTATAGATGTTTGAGAGAGGGAATATATTGGATAGAAATAAAGGGAAAGATATATATATATATATATATATATATATATATATATATATATATATATATATATATATATATATATATATATATATATATATATATATATATATATATATATATATATATATATATATATATATATATATATATATATATATATATATATATATATATATATGAGGAAGTGGAAAAGAAAAGAAAGAAGGAAGAGAAAAGAAAGGGAAAGAAAGAGAAAGAAGAGAAAAGGAGGAGAAAAAGAGGAAACTTGGAGAATCATCAAGAACATCCTCTAGCTTCCGATTAATCGAGGTAAGGGTGTGAAATCTTACTATCTTAATCATTGTGTATGTGTGTTAGATTGTTTGGGTGTTTTTGGATATTTTCCATTTGAGGTCGAAATGAGTTTAATCGGTAGAAACTAAGTTTTATCGGTTAGAATTTGGAATAGACGGTGTAGTATAGTCGAGTGATGAGTGGGTTGTGCTACTGGGGCTGATTTGGATTAAATCGGTTGGTTTTGTGAGGTTTGGGCTTTTGGACAGCCATGGAAGTTCTGATCTCGCAGGTTCGCCAGGCGAATGACAGCGAGGCTTCGCCTGCGAACGGTAGCGAATCAAGTCAGAAAACACCCTGCCTTCGCTGGCAAGTTCGCCAGGAGAATGAGAGTGGCGAAGGTTCGCCAGGCGAGTGTGCTAGCGAGTGCTAGCGAGTAATTCCAGAATAGCTCCCAGTGGTCTTCGCTGGCAAGTTCGCCAGGCGAACGTTGCAGCGAAGGTTCGCCAATGGCTTCGCCAGGAGAAGGTTGGCGAATGGGACACCATTTGTTTTATTTTGATTGTTTCTATCCAATGTTGTTGTCTTTGGTTTTAGCATGTAACGAATAGCTTGTGTACGTTGTGCTATGGGTAGCCGTATGGCGTGAATCCTAGATTATGAATTGATTGTGAATATGTGGCCTTTTGACATATGTGATGCGTTGTTTAAATTAATTAAAAATGCATTATTGGGTGGGATTGAGTTTGTTGCCGTTTGGCACGATAATTGTGGGTTATGAATACGAATCTAGTATGAAACAATATGAGATGAATGACGAATATAGGGTAAATATATTTGCGAGTGTATATTGAACGTATGTGTTGATGCGTGACGAATGATGAATGCTATATATATTGTGAAGGTATGATTACTGTATGTGATATGTAATGAATGCATGAGTATGTTTGCAAACACATATGCATGTTGTATCGGTTGATCCCGTGGAGGATCTGCAGAGACATCGTGTGCCCTTGTGGGGTGTGAGCGATGGTCTATAATTGATTAGGTCATTTTGCATGTGAACCATCATAATTGCATACTTATGTGTTTGATTCCTCAGAGAATCTGCAGAACCTCGTGTGCCCTTGTGGGGTGTGAGCGATGGTTATTTATTGATTCCTCGGAGAATCTGCAGAACCTCGTGTGCCCTTGTGGGGTGTGAGCGATGGTTATTTATTGATCCCTCGGAGGATTTGCAGAACCTCGTATGTTGCGATGGTTACATTGATTCCTCGGAGAATCTGCAGAACCTCGTGTGCCCTTGTGGGGTGTGAGCGATGGTTATTTTTGGTTCTTCAATTGAACCTGCTGAAATGAGTCGGTACCACATTTGCATCTGCATAGAGTCGTGAGTCGGTCTCTATGAGTTGCATGATTCATCTTTATATGATGCATTGGTGAAATAAACATGTATGTGTATGTTTATGTGAAAATGATGTGAATGTATGCATGATAAAATGCTTGGTTTTATACATATATACATTATGATGTATGATAGTGGATTGTGAGGCATTGTAGTGAGAAACTGTGAAATATATATATATTATGTACTTGTGCATTGATATATCATTATGTGCATTTATTATTATGGTAATGTTTCTCACCCTTCTGCTGGAATGATGTCCTACATGACATCGTGCAGGTACCAAGGAGTAGTACTGGTAGTAGTTGCGAGGTCGATGTTGGTGCAGCTATTAGTATTTAATAATGTTGGGTCAAGTCATGCTCTGGTTATGTAACACTGGGATCACGGGGTTTATGCCTTAGAGATATATTGTATATTCTAAGTTGTGTTTTAAATGTATTTTGAAATATGTGATAATGGCCTCTGTGCCTAAGTGTTGATGATTATGTGATGAACATGAATTTTCTGTGAAGAGTTATGTAAACCAAATTGAATCCGCTGTTTCATGCAAGATGAAAATTTAATAGAATGACTATTTATTTCAATGTTACATGAGTATGACAGGTGAATGTTAAGATTTTGTAATTATGTGTGACGCCCTTTGTGAAAGCATGTTAATTTACTCTGATTAAATATGTATTTTTCCGTGGGGATTAGAAGGGTGTTACAGCCGCCGCGGCTTCTTCTTCCATGGATGGACTTCGAAACTTCCCTCTTCTTCTTCTTTCGGTTGCCTTAAACGATAAGAACAACAAGCTGCCGAATAGGCCATTGGCCGAGAATCGAACATCCGATGATGATACCACTCTAATGGTGTCAAAAAACAACTAACCGATTAAACCATCCATTTGTTTTTGTTCATTTTGCAGGTAAGGAGAAAAGTCAGAGAAAACTCGGAGAAAGTCGAAAGAAAGATCGGATAATTGGAGGCTTAGAAAAATATTTAGGAAAGAAAATAAATCTTATTTTTTTGTAATTTTATTATTTTATTTTTTTTGTAATTTGTATTATTTATTAAAAAAATTATTTACTTCTTTTTTGTAAAGAATTAATTTATTTAGATATTGTAAAATGGCAATGTTATTTATCTATAATAAAATTATCCCCTTTTTATATAACATAATGAAATATAAAAATGAAATAAAATTATCATTAATAAAATCAATATCCCTAAATAAATTAAAAAATCATTTTATCTATAAAATCTAAGAATGTCATCATAAATAAAAAATGGAATGAATCAAGAAAAAATGAAATGAAATGACTTTTAAAATATGTTTGTCCTAAAATGAAATTAACTAGAAAAATGAAAATAGGTTGACTTTCTTTATGCAATGAAAATGAAAATAAAATTAAGAAACGAAACTGAAATGAAACCTCCAATTTCCTAATAATTCCTAATTCCTCTAACTTATCTGACTAAACCCATTTCCGACACGAACCTCCGACTAAGCTTTCCGGCAACTCACATCAACCAACTCAAACGGCCCCACTTCTCTGATTACAACCCAAAGTTCGTAATTTGACGGTCGGCTGCAAACACATGACCATTTTACCCTTCACCGCTTGAATTGCGAACAAGAAGATTTTCCCTGCAAGATCAAGCCAACTAGACAAACCTGTTAGTGACTGGTTAAATGCAATGGAATGCGAGATGATTCGACTAAATCTTAGGGCAAATTTTGGGGTATTACACGTAGCATATGATTGTAAAAGGGAGGCAACCTGTTTGGGTAAAGAGGTTTGGGGAGACGGAAATGTTTTATGGATGTGTGAAGATTGTTCAGGTTGGTAAAGTAACATATGGACGAACGCAATTGAATCAGTATGGAGAAGGTGACAAAGTTGTTGGTATGAAGAATGAGTAGGTAGTGTTTTTGGGTCACCCGAGATTGAGATTTTGTTGTTGTGGTAAGTGAAAGAGATCTTGGCTATTGAGAAATCCGCTAGGAGGGGACCTAGAGTACGTAACCATTCCATGTCGAGGGCAACGTCGGCGCCTTCAATAGGAATTAAGTGGAATGAAATAACAAAGAGGTGATTTTGTAAGGTGATAGGAACTTGCGAGCATAGTCCTGAGCATGATAATTTAGACCCATTTCCCACCATCACCGAGAAATTAGGAATTGGTGTAGTAGGAAGTTTCAAGTGTAGAGCAATGCGAGGTTGTAGTATGTTGTGGGTGCTACCCGTGTCGATTAGCACCGTCACACTGAGGCCATGAAGTACCAATTGATAAAGAGAGTGATGAGCGACACAGAGAGGCTTAGAAAGAGGCACAGTTTGTGCGATTCCACAGTAGCAGAAATGAAGACCATTCTATCTTCCGAGACCATGAACATCCCTGACAGCGTTAGCATCAAGGTTAACGCCAAGGTGATCGAGGTCGAAGGCCCACGCGGTAAACTCGTTCGTGACTTCAAGCATCTCAACCTCGATTTTGATATCATCACGGATGATAATGGAAAGAAGAAGCTCAAGATCGACGCATGGTTTGGTTCCCGGAAAACCTCTGCCGCCATCAGCACCGCTCTCAGCCACGTTGAAAATCTCATCACTGGTGTCACCAAGGGGTTCTGCTACAAGATGAAGTTTGTGTATGCTCATTTTCCAATCAACGCTAGCATTACCAATGATAACAAGTCCATTGAGATCTGTAACTTTCTCGGTGAGGAAGGTGGATTTGCTTGATGGAGTTTCGATTGTTCGATCTGAGAAGGTGAAAGATAAGGTTGTTTTGGATGGAAATGACATTGAGCTTGTTTCTAGATCATGTGCTTTTATTAACCAGAAATGCCATGTTAAAAAGAAGGATATCAGGAAGTTTCTTGATGGTATTTATGTTAGTGAGAAGGGTGTTTTAGTTGTTGAAGAATAGATTGTGATACTCTCATTGAAAACACCAATTGATAAAGAGAGTTCAACTACTACTTCTAGATCTAGGGTTTACCATTAACAAGACACAAGCATGAGGAATAATATGAACGATAAAAATTATAAATGTCTTTCTTCTTGCCTCCCTCAAGGAGGAAACCTAGAATAAATATAAAAGAGTAACTTGAAACTGGGCCACAACAAAACAGGCCCAACTAAAAAAGATTAATAAATTAATACAACATCCTATTTAAGTTCATAGTCCTCCATCCATTTGGGTTGAGTAGTAGTGCGTTTGGGTCTACTAACAAGTATAGCATTACTATTAATTAAAATTCATGTTTGTCTCTTGTTTTAATTTTCAGACATTTAAAAGTTTAAATGTATTTTTTATGTTATTTTTTTAATTTAAATTTTATATAAAAAATTTGAATGAAATAGTTGGGTAAACTATCATATAGCAGTTAATAAAATAAAAATTAATAAAAAAAATTAAATTTTAAAATAAAAAATAAAAAGGTATAATTACAATAAAAATAGGCTGCACCAAATTTAAATTTGCTATTTATATATATGTTATAGGATTATTATTATTATTATTATTATTATTATTATTATTATTATTATTATTATTATTATTATTAATTTATTTATTTGTTGAATGGACTTATATGCATCAAGAGCCTATTAAAGCATATAAATTCATTAAAGGAAAAATCCTGGAAAATGATGGACAGAACTGCTTATGACTGAAGTTCCGTGGACAAAAAGTATATCATTAGTCAATAGCATAGCATAAAGTAAAATTATTATTTGACAAACTTGTGGACCAAGTTAATTAATCAACAAGAAACTATGTTTGTAGTAAGTATAAAGGTTAACAAATGAGTTTCAATTGCAACAATAAACAGAGTCATCTAAATTAATAAAATTGAGACAAATTCTACGGTGAGCACTATCACATTTAAGAGTGAAATGGACGATAAAGGTATCAAGACAAGCTGGTTTTCATCAATATCAAGATTCCTTACATTGTTATTTTGTGGTGAGACAAGTACCAAAGCTAGTGCAACTAGTGGGCCTGAAGCCTCCATTGTTGCTGCGTCAAAGCATTTCTCTTCAGCCCACAAAGTGAGGTTCAATTAGTTGAATGTGTTGATATTAAGATGGTTGAATCAATCCACATTGTATTGAAGTGACTGACCCCCAATATTACTTTGGATTATACATTAAAAAAATTGCGACTTTTGTACCGTCCAAAAGTACACTTGTGAACAAATAATGTTCATAATCATGTGTAGGTTTTCAGAAATATGGGAGGTTGAAAAAATACCTGTAATATAAAAATCAATATGTTCAGTTTCACCTTTGGTTAAAAAGAGAGTATTATGTGTTATCGCGAGTACAAGTTATTCTCTTGATTAAAATTGTTGTTGTTTATTTAAGTATAAATTTTTCTTGCGCTCTAAATACTTAAAAGTCCCGTGCTTAATTCTTGTGAAAATTCCACCTCCTTGTACAATAAATGTAAAGTTGCTTTAAAACTTTACATTTGTTCAATGTAAGTTTTATCATATTCATATTCATCCAGCAAATCCGTTTTAGCTGCCAACTATAAAATATTGGGCCGATGATAACCGTTTGTTGAATGTGGCTTTGCTCCATTTAACCTTAGCTCCATTTATTCCATTTTAATTAATGGGATTTTGACATGCGGCTAAAAACAAATTTGATGGGTTTTTGCTGGTCAGGTGTTAGTGGTGCTGATTTTCTGGAATTTTTATTTGTATATTTGTTTAAGTGTCTTATGATGTTCTTATTTAGTTGTGGTGCTGGTGTTAGTTAGTCGTTGCTATTTCCATCGATTGAGGTTTTTTCTTGTACTTTTTTGTACTTCTTGTGCCCTTTGCTAGTTTAATGTATTTTTATTCTTTAGCCTTTAAAAAAAATTGAATTAATTAATTGAATAAAAATAGAAACCACTTTGTCTTTCCTTCTTCATCCAGCCCCCTAATTGTCACCAACGCTTACATCAACAAATGATGTCACAATCGGTTACCGTCGGTACCGCTGCCGTTGTTGGTCATATCGTTCTTTCGCCAATCATCTCGCTGTATTCTTGTTTTCTCTATCGTCTTAACATTCAATGATATTTTCTCATACATTGTAAAATGAATAATAATGGTGTTGCTAAAAACTCAATTCTTTAAAAATTTAGACTAAGGAATCTCAAACTCATACATAGGGTTGTTCATAGTACATATCGACAAAAAAATTGAACTGAACCAAATCGAATCATAATAAAAGGTCATCGGAACTAAACCGAACCGTTTCAGTTAAGTCAGAACCGAACAAAACCAAATTTATTAATTTGATATATCAGTTCTGAATTCCAAACCGTATCGAACCGTTAAAAAATAGTTTTTTTCCAAACCGGACCATTTATTATAGAATCAGATTTTTTTTTTACCTTTTTAATAAAATAATTTTAAACTTGTTTTTTGTTTTTTTAAATAAAAAATGATTTTTTTAAGGGAAGGAACTAATTTTCCCCCGATTTAGTTTGAACAATTTTCTCCTGCTTTTGTTTTGCATAATGGCTAATTAATCTGTTTGGTATTTTGTATCTATAACATATATAAAGACAAAATTTGATTTTGATGTAGCCTAATTTTCTACCACTTTTATCTTTATTTTAAAATGTGTAACTTACACAATAAGTTCCATTGAACCATCTCTATCATCTTTCACATAACTTCTTACTAATAATTTTCTACATAACTTTCATTTAAACTAACATTAAATAAAAAAATATCATTTATATTTTTAAGTGTGTGCATTCAAAAAGTGGATAGATGGACACGCGAGTGCTCGTCTAGACGCTGGTATACATAAATACGATTATCTGGTGTTAACAAAAAGAAAATAATTAGCTACTGCTATAGCTTATTGTTGCACCCTAATTTTTGACCTTAAGAGTCCACCCCCTTTGTTGTTTTCTTGCGTGTTTTATTTTTACCTTTCGTGTGTATGTTTATTATGACTAACCAGCTGGCGCAGGTACAACTAACTTTAAGCAGGTTTTTGATTCAAAGATCCTAAGACTTTCAGGCAATCGTGTTAAAAAAAGTGTGTCAGAAGCCTTTATGTTTTGAGGAGGAGTTCAAAAAAGTTTAGTTTAATCTGGGAGTTTAGATCATTTATTTTGTCAAATGGAAGAAATCTGGATCACGCGGTTCGAAACGAAGATTTAGGATGAAGGCTGGGAATCAAGACTAAGCGATTTAATTTGCATGAAGGTATCGTATCTACATTCAAGAAGGGTGGTGCCTTGAACTTTTAAGAGGTTTTCTATTTTAAGTTTAATACGAGACTTATGGTTTATAAGGTTCAATCCTTTGAGAAATCATCCAAATTTTGAGAGGGACATGATTCAAGTTCTGATTATATTATGATTCAAGTATACGTCATTGCTAAATTTGAGAAATGTGTCATTCAAATTGTCATTGTTATAAGACTCTCATTTTGAAGTGCGAACTCGCACACACACATACAAGAGACATTATAGAATCCCTATGGCATTAAACTTCGATTCTTAATGTTTTGAGTTCAATTGATTGACATCATTCAAAAGAAATTTGAACTCATGTGAAAATTTCCTTGAAGTGTTAACGCCCAAATTCTAGTACAACAAACAGTACATCAAACATGCACACAACTTCGGTTTAAAATGTATGTTTTGGAGATTTTCAAGTCAAGGTTGGAAAATAAGCAAGTATCCATTTTTTTAAGATTGTAACATAACTTACTGTAAATGACAACCGCATGTTTACAAAGAACTAATGTCAGATACAGTAATCAAACTGGTGATTTAGTAACATACAAGTTCAAAGTTGTTCGATTTGGTTTACAAGACAAATTTCTTAAAGGTAAAGATAGTTCAAATGTTACAACTACAAGTGACGGCGCAAGATTCTTCCGTAAAAGGAACACTATTGCGTTTTGACGGCAACTGCGATCAAGGCAAACTCAAGTCTTTTCAATAATCCATGTTCTGCTGCAAATCCGTCTGCGCCGTCGATACACAGTGGGAATGTCGCTACACAGTGAGAATTTCATTGCTCTCGATACCGGCCACCTATTACTGCAAATCAAAAGGGTAAACGGAGTTAGTAAACACCAAAGCAGAGATTTCCTTTCAGTACAGATGAAGTTAATTTATCTCTGAGAACTTGGAGATTTACAATAGACTATTAACGACACTTCAAAGTGAAGAGAGTTATAAATGATGTTACCATTCAGCAGATGACCGTTGCGATACCACAATGACGGAGACTAAACCACACAGAGAACGCATTCACCTTACACCATCTTGATTCATGATTCCGTTTCGTCATTTCTTGCAAACCAAAGCGTAGGAGCAATCATTTGACCTTTAACCCGACAACATTCATGATAAATCTGAAGAAAACTCAATCACAAAAGCATTACCAAACCGAAGGCATCGCTACTAGTTCCTCATTGCTGGTTGTTCCAATAAAATCTTCTGAAGTTGAGATGAACGATGATGAGGTAAATAATGCAAAGGTCTCACCATCCCCTGGATTCCTGCTAAACAATCACCATTAGAATGATACACTGTTAGAGAGGAATTTAAGTTGATTAAAGAAGAAGAAGAACAAATGAACATTAAGGCAAATGAAAGACTCGCAAAACATTTTTCTTCTGAATACAAACTTACCGAAAGCTGATGATATACCATGAAAAAAACCTTCAACCAAGTGCAGCACATAGTTCGCGGCCAGCTAATTTTCACTACTGCAAGTTGAAACTAGAGAAAATTAAGAGCTTCCAAATAACTTATTCCCAACAGAAGGTAA